GGCTTGGAGCAGCCTGGGCTGCTGGGAGGTGTCCCTGCCCATGCAGAGGGGCACTGGGTGGGCTTTGAGGTCCCTCCAACCCAAACCATTCCATGCTCTATGTCTTCCCCATTGCCTCTCTGGGCAGGCAGGAGCCAGGCTGGGAACAGGGTGTTCCCTGTGTCCTGTGCTGTGAGAGGGGCTGGAGTCACAGTGTTTGGAGCTCTGGAAGCCCAGAGGCCCTGCAGCTCTGCAGCCCAGGAGCTGCTCCTTGGCCTGACACTGGAGCTTGGCTTTTGAATTTCAAGGGAGAACTTTACTTTCTGCTCTGGGAAATCTGTTTGTATTTCATGTTCTCACTGTTCCACAGAAGAGCTGGGGCAGAGCAAGGACTAGACAAAAATATTCTAGTCCAGATTAGCACCACAGGATTCCCCCCTTTCCCCTTCCTCAGCCTTTCAGGAGGTCTGAAAAGCAAGAGGGGCAACACAACTGCAGACAAGCAGCCCCCACACATGGGGAAAAAACACCCCAACAAACAAACCACCAGTTAGTTCTCACAGGTGTTTTTAGCCTGGTTCCTTGGTGGGAATTTGTTCTTCACAGGTGTGTAGGCAGGTGAGCACAGAGCCAGGCACGTGGCTGCATCTCCCCAACCTCTGGGTGTGACTGGGGGATCACCAGTCCAAAGGCAGTGGTTTGGACACTGGGGGCATCCAGCCTTGGGGTCCAGCAGAGGAAAAACCAGCAGCCCCAGAGCACTGGGCCTTCTGAAGGTTCCAGCTGAGCTGCCAGCAGCCTGGGGGTGGGTGTCCTGGGTAGCTGGAGCCCCCATCTAATCCCACCTGCCTGCCAGAAGGGATCAGTTCCCCTGCCTGGTCCCTCCCGTGTCCCCACACCAGAGCTGGGGCTGGCTCAGGGGGATGAGCTCCCTGAGGACCAGGATTGTGGGAGGCTCCCTGGGCAGTGCAGGGCTGTGTGCTGGGAGGCAGCAGCTGGAGGAGCAGGTCTGGGAGCAGCTGCCTCGGTGCTGCCACCTTCCCTGTCACTGCGGGGCTACAAAGATGTTTTCTGGGCTCCAGTGGAAACTTCAGGGCACATCTCCTGGCTTGGTCAGTAGAAATGCCCTTGCCCGAGGCTGACCTGAACCAAATGAGCACGACTGGCTAGTGCAAGGGTGTGGGATTAATGAGGGGTGTGGGATTAATGAGGGGTGTGGGATTAATGAGGGGTGTGGGATTAATGAGGGCAGAACCCTCCGTGTGCTCAAACAGGGCTGTGGATCCCAAAGGACCCGTTTCCATCTTTAGGCATCTGAAAGGCTTAAAATCCTGCTCCTTAGGAGGTGGTTGGTGGGGCTCTGCTTGCTGGTCGTGGCTGCTGGAGCTGGCTCAGCCTGGGGGGTGGTGGTGATGGGCTCTGGAGTGAGAGCCCAGTCTTGCCAGGTGGGATGGGGCTTGGAGCTCCCGGGTCTGCTGGGAGGTGTCCCTGCCCATGGGACTGGATGGGCTTTAAGGTCCTTTCCCACCCAAGCTATTCTGGGAATTCTGGGCTGCTTGTACAGGTCTTGCCCATAGGCCAACAGGACTGGATGTGACTGGGGATGATGGATCTTATCCCCTTCAGCTGGGAGTGGCTTTTTTCTCAGAGTCTTCAGGACAGGGCTTTGCTCAGGCTGTGGCCCAGTCTGGTGTGGGCTGAGCAGAAGTGATGGGGAGAGGAGTCCTGGGCATGTCTGACAAGGCAGAGGCTTTAACCTGGTTCTTGGCCTTTCAGGGCAGTGGGTTGTGCTCAGTTCCAATGTTTGATGACCTTCCCTGGCTGCTGTTTTGGTGCTTTCTGCAAGTTTCTGCCCCGTGGCAGCCGCTGTCGCGCCCGGTTCTAACTCTGCTCTCTGGTGGTGCCAGGGCTGCCTCTTGCTCCTGGTCTGGTTGCTCAGGGAGAGGCAGGGGAGCTGCTGCTGCTCACTGACCATCCAGCTCTGTCTCCTCTCTTCCAGGCTCCTGCAGGCGAGTTGGGGACAGGAAATTCCAGGCGTGAAACCCCCTATTCTGGAAATCAGCAGGTGAGACTGTCCCGGGACAGGCAGGGCAAGGAGGCACCAGGGAGAGGAAGCTGAGTGAGACTGGAGCCCTTAGAGCAGCTTCCAGGGCCTGAAGGGGCTCCAGGAAAGCTGGGGAGGGGCTTGGGACAAGGGCAGGGAGGGATGGGAGCAGGGGGAAGGGTTTCCAGCTGGCAGAGGGAGCTGGAGCTGAGATGGGAGGGAGAAATTCTGGGCTGTGAGGGTGGGGAGCCCCTGGCCCAGGTTGCCCAGGGAAGCTGTGGCTGCCCCATCCCTGGGGGTGTTGAAGGGCAGGTTGGATGGGGCTTGGAGCAGCCTGGGCTGCTGGGAGGTGTCCCTGCCCATGCAGGGGGGGACTGGGTGGGCTTTGAGGTCCCTCCACCCCAAACCAGTCTGGGATTCTGTGACTTCCGTCCTCAAAAGTGGTTCTGCTGAAGTGGAGAAGTGTCCGTTACAGGAGGCAACTAAAGGACTAGTCTGATTCTCTGCTGCTCTTTCAAAATGTCTCAAAGACCCAGGAATACAGTTCCTGGCTGCTCATGAACTCAGGGGCAGCTGCTGCTCTGAGGAGGAACTGAATTGGCAGGGCAGTGAGCAGGGGAGCACCTGGAGCAGTGGTGGTTGTCTGTCTGTGGTGGGAACGGCCTCACCAGTGCCCAGAACAGGGGCTGTTTAATTCTGGCAACTAGGATGTCAGAAGAAGTGGAGAAGTCAGGAGTTGGTGACTCATGTTGAACCAGTGCTGCTCAGGCCCCCCAGAGATCCCCAGCTGCCTGTTGTGCTGCCAGCAAACCCACATCAGCTGCTGGGAAGAAAATGGAGGGATCCTGCAGCAGAGAATTGTGTTGATTATAGGGACTGGTTTTCTCCAGCTCGTTGGTTAGAGGCCAACTTGCCCTCTGGAAGGGGAAGTTTCTTTATTTCCTGCAACTTGTGTATATTACTTTTTTTTGGAAGCATTTCCTGTTCTTATTTCTCATATCCCCTCTGATCTTTCCTTTTAAATCCTGCTGGGTCTCTGCTCCCACCTGCCATCCCATCACAGCCCTTTTCCCAGGTTACTTGAGCCTGTTCAAGGCTCTTTAGTGTCTTTTTAGGTTTTCCCCTCACAGTCATTACACGTTACTGGTTTTCCTGAAGGGACAGGAATGAACATGGTACTTGGTGCTCTGCCCAGAGGTGTTTTGTGCCTCTTGTATTCCTCTTGGAGTGCTCGCTGGCTGCTTGGTCCCACTGGCTCTTACTGGTCTTGAGCTGAGCAGGAGGAACAGGGTGGGGATGATGCTCCTCGTTCTACACTAGAAAGAGACCTCGATGTTCATTCACTCTGTCTTTAAAGATTCTCAGCTCTCAGGAGAAAAAGAGGCCCAGATCCCCAAGGGAGGCAGGGCAGCTGCTCCTGGAGTGCTTTAGGATGGAAGGGCTGGTCTGAGGTCACACTCAGAGCAGGTCCAATTAGATCAGGTTCTTCAAGGCCAGGTAAATGTTGAACACCTCTACAGATGGAAGGTGACATCATTCCAGATGCCACCCCCATCTTTGAGCACTCTCACTGAAATGGGTTTTTTTATTCAACTGGTATTTGGATGGAATGTCCCTCGTTCCAGTTTGACATGGGTGGCTTCGTAGAGCCCCTGATGTTTCTGGCTACTGGTGTTTTGGCACTGGGGGCCAAGGTCCCTGCTCTTCTGACTTGGAGGGACTTGCTCCATGAGAGATTCCTTGTCTTTAGACTCTAATGGTTTGTCCCAGTCAGTTCCTGTGGCAGTGGTGACTGCTTTGTGTCCTCATGGCAGCCACTGCTCTGACAGTGGAGACTTCCCAGGGGAAACTGTTCACACCCTCCTCCCTGGGCTCTGAGGAGAAGAAACAAGGTCTCCCTGATGCCCTGTGTGGAGTGAGGAGCCTCACAGGAGCATTTGTGCAACGTGTTTGCCTTTCTAGCTGTGAGCTGAGTGCCCCAGGTCCCCTGCTGTGGAACCTGCTGGAACCTGTAGCCTGTTGTATATCATCAGTTCTCTGTAGCTTGAGTGACACAGGGAGTCATCTAGATGGCTTTTTTCCTGGTTTTTCCCCTTTATCCCTGTTCAGCTGTGTAGGCCATGAGAGATTCCCTGGTTTCTTTTGATCCCCTCTTGCCAGTTCATGTCACACCAGATGGAACAGGCCCAGCAGGACACACCAAAGGACATGGGGCCATCACTGATCTTGTGGCTTCTACATTTTCTGGGGATTCAGGAGACTTGACCTTCAAGTTGTTGCTGTGGAGCAGAAGTTGCAAGGGAACACATCTCTGATTCTCTGCTGCCATCCGTTTTCTTGCCTGCATTCCTGGCTTTTGACATCCTGTTGCCCAGCCAGAATTCGTAGCCTTATTTCAGAGCTCTGGCAGAATTCCTGAGGGAAGCTGGATCCTGAGGCTGGAGCCATGATGGGCTTGCTTTGGCCTTGGGTTCTTCTGTTGGGGGAGGAGGGAGGTGCTGGGTGGGTCTGTGTGTGCCTGGCAGGGAGGGCAGAGGAGCTTTCCTGGCAGGCAGCAAGGAGCTGTGTGGGGACACGGGTGGCTCCGGGGCACGGCAGCTGGGAAAGGAGCCTTGGATCTGCCGTACCTTGAGCCTACCAGTAAACTTTTATGGAATGCAGCTCCTGAAAGCCCTGCAGCTTGGGTAGGATACAAGATGGGAATCATTAGTTCTGCACCTAGTGTGTCCTGTTCTAGTCCTCCTGCTGCTGTTGAGAAGCACCCCTACTCCTCGTTTGAATTTTAGGTAGAATTTGACTTTATGTTGAAGTACTTTTGCAACTGTATTTTTTGCCAAAAGCTGTTGGTGACAGTAACAGGTCTGTGCCACTGTGTTTGGTGCCCAGACTGTCAGTGTTGGGGCACCCTGCCCGGCTGGCCTGGGAGGAGAGGCTGAGGGAGCTGGGGCTGTTCAGTTGGAGAGGAAGAGCCTGAGGGGGGGGTCTCCTCAAGGCTGAGCAGGATCTGCAGGGGGTCAGCAGGGGGGTACCAGACTCTGCTCAGGGCTGCCCAGGGACAGGCCAAGGGGCCATGGGCACAAGCTGGAGCACAGGAGGGTCAAGCTCCCCAGGAGGAGGAACTTGTTGCCTGGGAGGGTGGCAGAGCCCTGGGCCAGGCTGCCCAGAGAGGCTGTGGAGGCTCCTTCTCTGGAGACACCCCAGCCCCTCTGGAGGCTCCTGTGGGACCTGCTGGGGGTGACCCTGCTCTGGGGGCTCAGTGGGATGATCAGAGGTCCTTTCCCACCTGCCCCCCCAGTGACTCTTCCCTCCTGCCCCCTCCCAGGGTGACCCAGTGCAAGTACAAGCGGATCGGGTGCCCCTGGCAGGGCCCCTTCCACGAGCTGTCTGTGCACGAGGCCGAGTGCACCCACCCCACCAAGACAGGGAACGAGCTGATGGAGATTCTGGACGAGATGGACCAAACCAGGAAAAAGGAAATGCAGCTTTACAACAGCATCTTCAGCCTCCTCAGCTTCGAGAAGATCGGCTACACAGGTACTGGCCCCAGCCCTGCTGCCAGGCTGGGTTGCTGCTGCTCCAGGGTCCTCTCTGTGCCACCAGAACCTGGTTTCATCCCATGGGGCTCTTCCCCTGCTTCCCAAACCTGGATTTGTCCCTTGTGGCTCTTCTCGTGTCACTAGAACTTGATGTTTGTCTGGCCTAGCTCTTCCTGTGTCTCCAGAACCTGGTTTCATCC